TCGAGACGACAACATCGGTGATCCAGTTATATTTAATGTTATTTAAATAATTAAATTTCAGAATTTTATGTAATTTGGTTATGTTATTTAAATGTTTCATGGTTGTTACATACATATTTTTTTTATGTTATTTTTTATTCACATTTAACATTAAATGTTTGATAAATGTTTTTAAAATACAAATTATATTATTCGAAATTTAAAATAAAAATAAAAATAATATTATTCAAATTTAAATTTAAAATATAAATTATAGTATTCGAAATTTAACATTAAATTTCAACTTAATATTCCAATTGTATTCGAAATTAAAAGTTATATTCCAATTATAGTTCACAATACTTAAATTGAAATTAAAGGACTCCATACATATGATTTTATCATTAACATATATATTAAAACGTATACATTAAAATCAACTTATGTTGTGTTCATCGATCGACGTAATCAACCAAGAGGGGGGTGAATTGGCAATTTATTCAATGTCACATTTCAATGCTCATTCCATACAATTTAAATGTCACAATCAACTTATCACTTCACATTTATTCAATTTATCAATAACATTTTATCTAATTTATTCAAACTTCACATAACGTTTTAATTTAAGTTATTCTTAACTTGTTGAACATTCAAAAGAAGTTAAATTTAAGTTATTCCCCGAGGGACATGAGTGACATAATAGGGCAATGATAATATTCTCTGACGAAATAATGGAAGGCGCGTCCCCGGGAACGCGCCTTCACGTGAATAGTGAAATAATAGGTACTGATATATCTAGTGACCCCGAGGGACATGAATGACATAATAGGGCAATGATAATATTCTCTGACGAAATAATGGAAGGCGCGCCCCCGGGAACGCGCCTTCACGTGAATAGTGAAATAGTAGGTACTGATATATCTAGTGTCCCCGAGGTACTGTAAACCAATTGTCCAAATTGATGGTACTTTCTTGTATGGGAAATACAAGCAAGTTTTATTATTGGCTGTGGTCCAAGATGGAAACCGCAATATTCTTCCTGTTGCGTTTGCCCTCGTTCAAGGAGAAGACACTGAGTCTTGGGCTTTTTTCCTTAAAAATTTACGTTTACATGTTGTCACCAGGGAACGAGTATGCATTATTTCAGACCGAGGAGCCGGGATAAAAGCAGCAATGGACTCTTTGGGTACAATGTATAGACCTCCACATGTTCAACATCGTTATTGTGTCCGTCATATTGCTGCAAACTATTACGGAAAATACAAGAAGAACGATGAACGTCAGTTAGTCGTGCGGATGGGTATGTTACTTTTTCCCAATTTTTCTATCAATTTCTTATTACTTATTTATACTTCATATTAACTATTACATATTCCTAATGACTTAGGTTACGAACTCTTACCTCAAAGGTTTGAGTCGATGCTACAAGAGCTGTTTGGCAAAAATAAGAAGGGGTGCGAGTACATTATGGACATCAGCAAAGAAATGTGGACAAATGCATATGACGGGGGGTATCGCTATGGTCATATGACAACAAACTTGGCTGAAGCAATAAATTCAACCTTAAAGGGGGCGCGTCATTTACCAGTCACGGCGTTGGTCAAAACGACTTATTTTCGTTTGGGTCAACTCTTTGCAAAACTCGGTGGACAAGCTCTTACTTGGATGCAAAACGGACATATTTACCACCCAAGACTAGTAGCCGATTTACAGAAAAAAATGGCTACATCAAATGGGATGTTAGTTACAAATTTTTCTCGCACCCGTGAATTGTTTCGTGTAACCGAAATGCCACGTCCGCTGCAAGGGATTGAAGCTAACTCTTTCAGAGTTAATCTGCAAGAGAGGTGGTGCGATTGTGGTTTCTTTCAAGCACTCAATATCCATGCTCTCATGTCATTGCTGCTTGCTCACATTCGCATTTGGACTACAAAAATTATGTTGATCCCGTATACCAACTTTCACAAGTTTTCAAGGTATATGAATTTGAGTTTCCGCCCATAGGAAACGAAAGAGACCCAAATGAGATTCAAACTTGGCTTACAATTGTCCCAGATCCATTGCTATTGAGGGACTCAGGTCGTCCAAAATCTACTAGAATACATTGTGATATGGATATTCGGGAGAAGTCAACAGAACAAAAACGATGTGGGCATTGTAGAAACATCGGGCACAATAGAAAAAAATGTCCAGCTCTGTTATCATCATATAACCGTTAACTCTTATGTAATTAAAGTTTTTAAATGAATGTTTTTATTTCTAATAATTTAATGTTATTGCATTTATATAATTTGTCAATGTATGTACACCTAAATAATTTTTTTTAACTTTTAAATACATAAATATATTTAATATATTTATTTAATATAATATTTAATATTATTAGTTATAATTTTTACATTATAATCGAAACATTTTACATTATATTATTAATTTATAATAATAATAAAAATAAACTATTTATTATAAAACAAAATACGTGTCTGCTGAGTTGGCAAAGGCGCGTCCCCGGGGACGCGCCTTTCACACGTGGCATCCAACTCAGCGAAAAACCGGGTAAAGCGCGCCCCGGGGACGCGCCTTTACCAACTCAGCAGAAAGGGTGCTAGTTTTGGAAATATTGGTCGAACGGTGTTAGAAAAGTAAAAATAAAAACAAACGGTGTCAGTGGGGTAAAATCACCGAAATAGATGGCAGCCTTTGCCCCTTTCGGCCTCTTTTCCTAATGATGGGTAAACCCAATACGTTGGATTTGCAGAATCAATGGGTTGTCAACCTACATGCATAGCATAGGGAAACGAAAGGCTTAAAAGATGAGCTTTCGTTTATTGAAAAGGGAACCGGCTCTGTTTCTTTACTTTTGTTGTTTCTGAAAAATGTAAATTGGCTTAGGATTATGGATTCAATGGCCAAAACCAACGGCTCAAAATGAATCAGGTGTGACTGTTAGAGACACGATAAAGTCTAAGGAACGATAACTAATTTAAGGTTAAAAATGACGGTAATAGATGCAACCAGAAATTTACATTTTTTCCAATATTTTCAATTAACCTAAAAAAGATTATGTTTTTCTCTAACATTTATATTCTGAACGTAAAATGTAATAAAGAAGTGCATACTCTAAGAACAAATACATCTACTCTTAACTTCCAGGAAGCAACGAAATTATCAAGTGATTCAAGCTGCTATATCAGAAGCGAATACATTATAGCGCGAGACCAGATAAAAGCTTCATTGTACGAAGCAGCACCAATTTCACTCAAGGACTAAGCATGGCAAAATCGTTCAAATAATGCACAACTTTATGAACAGTATCGCCAAAATGATACAAGGGACTTTATGAAGATAAAGCGACGACACGTTTTTGTTGTTATATACATACAGACAAGGAGGAAACAACAGAGGAGACCGGCCTGGCCATACGGTGAACATGGAAAAGAGGCCCTGTCTGTCTCCTCTTTGATCTTTCTCAAAGATACAGAAGACCTTTACCACTGTTCAAATCACCCCCTTTCATAAAATAAATTTACGTGCAAAAAAATTTCCCCCACTACCGCTGTCTGGGCAATTTTGCCGACTAAGCGTTGTTATATGAATGTTGAGAACCAATTTTTTAAATTAAAACAAAGTCTAAAAGTTAATAACTAAATTTATTGTTATATTAATTTTATTAATTATAAAATCATTCCCATCTATTTTAATAAAAAAACAACCAAATTTATTTTATTTATTAAGATAAACTATATCATTAACTACTCAATTTTTTACTTTTATCATCCATCTAAAAACTTAAAAACCTTGGATGATGGTGGGAGTGCTCAACCACTAAACTAACTTGTTTTCATGGTTTAAATTGTGCAATACATGGTATATACATTGTGTCACCGTGTAAATTTAAGATATTTTATATATTTGGATTTAAATTCACATACTAAATTAAATTTATATCTTAAAATTAAAAAATATTTTATTTTTATCTTAAATTATTAAATATATTTTATTTTTATTTTAACTTTAAAATTATATTTTAATCTTATTTTAACTTAAAAATATATTTTATTATTATCTTAAATTTAAAAATATATTTTTAATTAAATTCACATATTAAAATTTAAAAATATATTTTATCTTAACTTATTACATATATATTATTTTTATTTTTATTTAAAAAATATATTTTATTCTTATTTTAACTTGAAACATTTTATTTTTATCTTAATTTATGAGATATATTTATTTTAATTTAAGATATAGTTTTAAAAGTTAATATAAGAATAAGATATATATTTTTAAGTTAAAATAAAAATTAAAAAATAATTAATAAATTAAAATAAAAAAATATTTTAATATTAAAATATATAAAATATTAAGAATTTACACTGTTATTCAAAATATATACTATATCTAAAGTTGATTACTCCCAATACAGCCAAGGTTTCCAGGTTTGAACCCCCTTGCGAACATTCACTGCGCACTTTATCTCACCTTATAATGACACATGTCACCATGTCATTGGTGAAAAATATATTAAATTAAAAATAATTAAACTATAATTAATCCAATGACGATACATGATTTCATCTTATTCAATGATTAAATTTATATTAAATTAGGACTAAATTAATATAATATGTAAATTAATAATGATTAGATGTATAATTATACCAAATATTTTAACTATCATGTCACTGTATCCATTAAATATTAATGGCTCATGATTTGGTGATCTAATTAGCAAAATTAAAAGATCGATGATAAAAATAAAATGACTAAATACTTGAGTGATTAATGGTATAATTTACCCTATTTCTTAAGTCTTATGATCATCTGTTACTTGTTCAAGTCGATGATCATTTCATAATAGCTAAATTCAAGGGAAATATATCCTAGAATCATGGGACTGGTTGAGAATTTTAAGATCACAAGTATGGGTGTAACCATTCTCGACTCGACGTTTGAAATGCAGAAAGGGCAATCCATCAAGTAAAGTTTGGAATGAAACACAGGACACATGGAGATCCATCAAACTTACTAATAATTTTCAATTATATAACGCATCCCAATCCCAAACAACAATAGTCAATGGAAAAACCAGCATCACTCACTGCATTCTGCCCACAGGTTCAAGGGCTTCTACAGTAACCACGCTATTTCCTCTTATCACCTGCAGTGGATTCAGATCAGTGAGCATATAGCCATATGAGCAAGGTACTTGAAAGAAATTATGATGCTCACCACCATGCCAATGTCAGCTTTCTCATTGCCATTCACTTCCACAGTGTTGTCAACCACAAGATTCATAAACTGATCAAACCCACGAAGTGTTCCAACCACCATCCTATTTGCATTCAGCTTTACTGCACAGTTCACATACCAACACACATTCACACTATTAACAGCAGCAACCCAAGTATTAACCAAGGCAATGAATATCCATCAAAATCTAAAAAAAATCGAAAATATTAAACCCCTTGATACTTGATAATTACATTTTAGGTGCACAAAATCAACGGAGGATACTAGCTTAAAATTGAATATCCATCAAGAAATTAGAACCCTTCAGCTACAGAGATACAAATGCTAGCCCCAGCTCAAAGAGGAAACGATAAACAGACACGAGATCTTAACTAACCTAATTTCAACTTATGCAAGTGACTACTTAAAAAACAAGAAACAACAAAGAATATAAACTACGTTTACATGAAAACTGAAAAAAAAAGAGCAAGGAAGAAGAAAAGAAACCAACTTTGGAGTTTCTTGTCCATGTACCTGTTGTTATAAGAAAAACAGCAGCAATAGAAGAAATTAGAAATTATTCGAGTGAAATGAAAGAGAAAAAGAAGAAACGAAATGAGTGAGGAAAATAAAGAACGTGCTTTTTGAGATCTGGAGGCTGGCCTGATCTGCTCATTGTGATGGAAGTTCGGTGTATTGGGTATGGGGAGTGCAAGCGGGAGAGCCAAAAAGAGGGTAGTAGGGTTTTGGGGAGGAGGAAGAAGAAGAAGAGAAGAGCCGTGAAGCGTAGAATTTAAAGTAAATGTATAAGGATTGTAGAGGGCCTGAGCTTTATCAAGATACGGCCCAACTATGGTGGAAAAAATGAAATGGGATTCAAATTTGCAAAAAAAAAATGAGGGGTGCTCCGAGAATCGAACTCGGGACCTCTCGCACCCGAAGCGAGAATCATACCACTAGACCAAGCACCCTACGATGCGCTTAAGTCACATATTGTTTATATGATAACATTTGACACACTAATGATATTTACATTCTTGAAGTGTACCGTATGAATGCTTCGTCAAAGAAGATTATTTGCTCCTTGTCTCTCATTTGACACTACAAATAGGAAAAGAGGGTTGATTATTTGCTTTTTGCTGCTTGTACGTTTTAGATTCAGGAATGATAATTCCTACGAGGAGCGTTTGAGTACGAGTTAAATTCTTGGCTCCTATTTAACTATTGACGACTCAAAAGTAAATGGTTACGTGTTCATTGATTCCCCAATTATTGTCAATGTCAAAACATGAAATTTTCTCACACATTCACTCCTTCAGCCACCCCACTCACTACCCAATAAACATGACCTCCCCACTTCTTTATCTCTCTCCCCCTTTGAAGTTCCAAACACCAAGAGAACAAAAAAGAAGAATGTCGGGGAAAACGATGGGTTCCTTGAAGAAGCTAGCCAAGAAGGTGAAGAGCATTGGCGGAGGAGATTGTGCGGAATCCAAGTATGAATGTTTGCCGAGGGAATTTGAGCAAATCTCTTCACCATCGGCCACGACAGCCTCGACGCCATCCGGGTCTTTCGCTATCTATGTTGGAGAGGATATACAAAGATTTGTAGTGCCAAACCAGCTACATGTCTCATCCACTCTTCAAGATGTTGGAGAAGTCATACGATGAATAAGGTTTCAAACAAAGGGATAAACTAGATGGTTTCATGCAGTGCTGCAACAGCGCAACGTCCAAGAAGTTGTCGATGTTGTAGAATGTTGTAATGAGAAGTTTGATTCTGGTTCAAGGCAAGAACAAAAACCAGATCAAGAAATCTGCATTTGAGATGCTTAACCTTTTTTTTGTCGAAGACAATGTTACTAAGGTCCCTCTTAGTTTAGCGGGAAGCCTCAAGGAATAGTGAGAAATGTAAGTTAAAAGAAGCCCAAGATATGAGAATTGACAAATTACTAGCTTATTCAATTGCCATTTATGACAAGACTCGCAAAGAAGTTGTTCATGAAGTCAACATTGTTCAGTGATGGAAAAACAAATCTAGCTATTACTCCGCAGACTGATACTACCATCTGCAAGAATTTTTTTCATCGATTCTATCAGTTTTTGCATTTGCTCTCTTGAATGCAGTGGTGCCGGATACACACATGCGCAATCCAAACATCCATCTCGAATGGTGTCGAATATGGCAATGGTTGGACCAATGCCGTGAACCGAAGAACACCCCACATAGTCCACTAGGCCGATTTCTTGGTGCAGTATGTTGGATTCATCAATCACAGGGTCTTCGAAAATCGAGATGAAGGCAGTTCTCATAGATGATGATGGAGTCAATCCAGGGTTGTCAATGGCCTTACACATGAGGAAGTTCAGGTCATTCATATCAGTGAAATGCTTGTTGTTGTTCTTGGCATTGGAAAAGGATGTATAACATCTGTTTGCTAACTCCCATACATCGTCACTGGCTGCCACATCGTGCGTATTCAAGATTGCAGAATGGTAAAATCCTAATAAAAGATGATAAAGAGAACATTATTATACCACCATATGCAACTTCTTACCTTAAATCAAGGGTCCAAGACTCAAGTGGGAAGCAAATGTAGCATATAATTTGGCCTCAAGAACTCAAGCATCGATCGGATAAGGATGATAATCGGAATGAACAAGTACATACCGAAATGATTGATACTGAGTGCTGGCTCGAGAATGGACCGACAGTCGGTGAGGGTTACAACGGCGTATTTTTCCCTTTGATGATCAGGGAAAGGTTTGGTGGCACGAGCTGCAATCAAACCAGCAGCTGCCAGGGCTCCACAGAGTTTAATACCCCTTGATTTGCAACCCTGTAAGTTGTATATAATGCAACTTCAAACCTCAAAACAATTTAATGACATAAACCCATGATAGATATATTAGTGATTTGTTGATGAATTATTGCAGGCATAATGTTTGGAACAGAGACATTCTTGAGAGTTTTTTACCTTAAATATTGTACTTGACGAAAACAAGAATAAAAACAATTTGTGACTTACAGCAACAAGCCTGTCGGTGTCATCTTGGTTTATCTTCAACCTCACAACCTGAGAGTGTCGAGACGAATCGGAATCAATGAAGTTGAGATTCGCCAGCCTGAAAGAGTTCAAGGAGTAGCCAAGCAAGTCAACCCCACGCACCCAAAGAGACTTGTTAGCTTTGCCACTAGGAATCAAATCCTCAATCCCCACTTGTTTTTCCTCCTCCTCCGTGTTGATTCTCCCGCCACCCACCATCTCCAGCAATTCCCTCAACAGACCCACCGCCGCAGCGCGGTCACAAGCCGACGTGTGTAGCCGGAACACCAACAACCAACTCGTCTCGCTTATCGTGTAAAGGCTGACAAAAAAAACATCCCTGTCGGCTTGGTCACCGTCATCATCATCATCGTTACGGGTCCATGAGTTTCTATTCAGCTCATGCTCGAGTAAAATGTCGCTTAGGTCGATGTGAGAATCATCTGAGAAGCTTTGGAGAATGTGGGAAGTTGATTGAAGATCAAAGGACTGGATTTTGACATGGGGATCACACGGTGTTGCAAAATAGAAAGTGTTGCTGGAAGCATCGAAATGGATCCTTGAACGAAGAATGGGATGATAAACTTGGAGCCTTGAAAGGGCCGCTTCAACAACTGAGACATCGGGTTCATTACAGAGGAGGAGGGACAAGACTGTGATGCCAGTGCCGCCGGGCACGGCTCGGCACCAGCTGTACTCGGTGCCACCAGCGGCTCGAACCATGGGGTCTGGGATTTTGGTCTCGGATTCTGACATCTTAGTCGACGGAATAGTGGCCTGAAATTTTGAGGGAATGAATGGATGAGGCCAGTGAAGACGAAGGGTGAAATTTGTTAGACTGAAAAAAAAACAAAACAAAAAATATCGACGGATTTTACGTAAAAGTATCAAACATTGTCCGTTTTTACCAAAATATCGTAATTAAAAAATTCATTTCCTAAGGTAGACTTTGGTTAACTAAGGGTTATTTGTTTACTTCAAAATGATTAAGCGTTTAATAATTCAAATGTTAAATAATTCAAATGTTAAATAATTCAAAGATTCTGTATGAATTAGCTCTGAATGTGACATGTTTTTTGATAATGGCTCTGAATCATTCGGAATGTACTTTGATGCTGAATCATTCAGCTCTATTTTGTTGAATTAGTCAACACTGAATCATTCAGAGGTACGCTGAATGCTGAACGGTTCAACATTCAGTGTTGAATGATTATATTCAGAGACAAACAAACAACCCCTAAATGTAAAATTTGTTTTGAGAATAATGTTATTGAAATATAATATTATTACGAGAATATTGTATTAATTTATTTGATTTGTTTAGTATAAATATAAAATTATAATGTTTGGTTAAAAGAATATAAGATTATTTAAATGTATATTTTTTTAAATTATTCTTGTGATATATTTTTTTAAAAAATTTAAAATTTAATATTAAATTATAAATATTTGAATTAAAATTCAAGAAAATATTTTAATCGTTATATTATCTAACTTTTGAGGAAAAAAATATTTAATATATATAATTAGTATATTAACTTATATTTTTAAATAATTTTCATAAATATCATATTTATTTATATAAAATATAATATAATATAAAAATATTACGATCTCGTTTGTATAAAGATATTATTTTTTTACGTATAAGATCTATTTTTTTAATAACTTAAAGTTAGATATTATTATAAACTATTATATTTATATAATCATATTATTTTTCACCTTATAAAATTATAAATAATTAATATATTGAATATTAAAAATATAAATAATTTTAAATATTCAAATTTATTAATATTTTATTAAATTAAACTCTTTGTATATTATTATTATATTTATAATTTTAAATAAAATAATAAAAATAAGAATAAAAAATGATCATTATAAAAAGAATTCATTAATCTATGGGTGTTTTTGTTCAAAATGATAGAAATTGTCTAATACCTAAAAATTTGGAGGTAATTACGTTCCTACTATTTTAACCAAAAAATTATATTATTGAAAAAAGATTATTTCATGGAAACAAACTTTCCCGTAAATCAAACGTGAAAATACAATTTCTAAAAAAAATATCTCCCTAAGTAAAGTTCTTTTCCATAAATCAAAAGTCCCCTAAATGTATCATGCCATTCGTGTCTTTTGAAAATTATGTTTTACACTCATCTTATATTGTAATTCATTCAACAATTTTCGGAAGACATTAACGTGAAATATGCAACTATGAAATACACCTTTCATAATTTTTAGGGTAATTTTACACGTTTAGTATTTAAATTTTTATTTTATTTTAGTACTTAAATTTTAATTTTTAAAATATATCTAATATTTAGGTTTCAATATGATATACCGACGTTAAAAAAAATAACATAACTATTGATGTGGAGTTTTTTTTTCCAATGATGATATGATATTATCTTATGGTGACATGTCAATATAATTGTTAAGTTTTGATGACAATGTACCAAAATAAAACTTAAACTAAATATTAGGTATGAAAAAAATAAAGTTTATGTACCAAAATAGAATAAAAGTAATAATTTAAGTACTAAATATATAGTTTATCCTAAATTTTAAATTGAAAAAATTAGGGGTAAACTATTCAAATGATTACTTGACTATGTGTTAATGTCGATATAATCATCATACTTTCAATATGATCATCATACTTTCAATATGAACACATAATTATTCAAGTGCTTTCAATCAAAATCACCTATAATTTTTTACCT